CCCGTTGGGAAAAAAAAAAAAAAAAAAAAAAAGGTAAAAGAAAAGAAAAAAGAGAGAGAAAGAAAGAAAATGGGTGGGAGGGTCCACAAATTTTTTTTTTTTTTTGAAAATTTTGGACAAGATCTCCATTGCTTGATTGTTTTTCTGAAAAGCTACGGCCTAGTCTATGTGTGGCAATAATAATAATGAGTACGCAAGATTGTCAGTCACATCTCACAATCACTGTGAGCCGGTAGATTGTCGTTTTGGTTGGTCAGCTTGCAGTTGACACGGGTGCCAAGAAGAGCCAAATACTCCTATTAGGGCAAGTGATCTGATAAATTACTGCTCCCTTTTGCCCCCTCCTCACACTAGTATTGCAACTGATCTTCGATCCGACCGCTTTATATCACTTAGATAGGAAGAGGCCAAACAACGAAAGTTTGGAGAGGAGGGGCAGAATTGATAGTGGTGGAGAATTGATCCACATGTGCCTGGTTATCGACTTATCTAGGCTCATGCCTGGATAGGAAATATAAGCGAGACGCTTGGAACCCACCTTGGCTTAGTACTCTGTACTGAGTAGATATACTAGCTTTATCGGACTATGTACCTCTCTAGGTGCATAAGAAGTATTATGTCTTGTCTGAATCTCAATGTGCTGAGGTCAATATGTTGATATCTTTGCCATGACTAAAACTCACAGATGCTTCTTTGATACCTGGATGGCCCAAGACAGCTGGCGAGGAAGCTGCTGCCTGAGTCATGATTTCCCGTTATGGAACAGATGCATAGGCAATCATTCATCAATGATGTTGTCAACTCCAGAAAGAAAGGCTTGCGAGCCGATATGATCTACTGGCAACAAGCTCAGCGCAACGAGCAGCCTCAATCTGAGCACAGCTATATACATGCATCAATCCTCGCGAAGACATCGTCACCTGGCACCTGATGCCAAGGAATTGATTCTCAAATGGCTCCTTGAACGGGAGAACTCGCCGACGACTTATACAAACCATCATGCGTCGGGTCCTGCAGAAGGTGAGTTTTTATCCATCTCACCCAGAAGCATTTCCCTAGGGGCCATTTTTCGCTGACGGATTCCTGTTTATCATTGACCAAGTGACTCGGACGAAGAGCCAGCAATGCCGCAGCAGTGGGCTTCCTATCACGCAGTCTGCATCAACTCCTTCGAGAAGTGCCCTGCGCGAAGGAAGCTCCTTTGCTCAACATTCCCCTCCTTTGAACCGTATCAGATGGCCACCCTATGCTGGAAGGCATCGTATTGGAAAAGGGACAATTACCGAAAAGGGAAGCAAAGGTGGATACGAACGCAAACCACGAAATAAGACCAAAGAAGACCGTTACGAGTACAAGGGCTCAACCTCGCGAATACAACGAAAGCAATCGCCGACAAAAGTGAAAAAGTCATCAAAGCAGGCTAGGAGACATACAATCAACGACAACTTCCATGCTTCCAATGTCCCACGAGATCGATTAACAGTATGCATTGTACTTCAGTAGTCAAGGGATCCATTGCTGACGGTTTGAACAGCTACATTCGCACCTAGATCTGGGTATTTTCAGAAGAGGGAAAACCTCGTCGCCAGTGAAAGCCGGCGAGCTTCGACATTTTCCCCATTTCTCGGGGATTCGCAAGCTGGTAAACCGAGGTCGAGTGCCTGAGAAGGGGTTTTCAGAGACAAGATTCTTGAGCAAGAAATTACGAAGCGATAGCGAGAGATACACAAGCCATCAGAGTCCGCACAACAAGAGGAAGGCTCGAGCAAATCCTGGGGATTCTCAGCTACTCATTTCGAGCTACTTCCCACTTGGCTCACTCGAGGATGAGGCTCGTATACAGGATTTCGAGATGGAGACAAGCGGTACCTCGTTGCATTCATCTCCGAACTTACAACAATACCCGGCAGACTGCAGCGTGCGCGACATAGCAGCGAAGAGGCATGCCGCTGTTGCCGTTCAATCTCCAGCTGATCAGCCTAAGCATTCCGGGGCATGCCATCCTGATGCTCAAGGGTGCGAACTCTCTCTGTCATCAATACCTACCAGTATTTCATGCAATGAACATGCCGCATTCTTGTCCGAAAGCTGGACAAAGTTTTACACGAGACAGCTTCTGCATTTTGATTTGGGCTCACAGGACAAGGGCAAAGATGAGTCTACCCATTCAGACAGAAACTACTGGAGCTTGGAGGACCTGAAGCTCCTGCTACAGGAGCGAGAGAAGTTTCGGCAACAAGAGACGTGGCCCAAAGTTGTATCAGAGATCTCACTCTCAGGCAGCAGACGCAACAGTCGCAGAGCAAGCTCTATCTATGAAGTGGAGGACGCTGATGAAAATCATTTAAAGCAACGGAAACAAATGGTGTTAGTGGAAGAGATGGGAAATAGTTTTGTTGAGGATAACTCAAGCCTAGATACGAAATTTATTTTTCCAGCACCTCTTGATAAGGGTCTCAACAACGAGCCAGATTTTCAGCACACATCTAATGCACCTCTAGCGAGATCCAGGAAGACGATACTGGCTAATATGAGCAGTGCTGGCCCGAAGGAAGACTTTGACTCTGGCTCCGATACATGGAAATGCCCCGAGCATCCTACCAAAGCCCAAGATGAGCGCTTCTCCTCCTCGGTATTCCAAGCCGGATCCTTTGAACAAGAGGCCGACCTCCAGCTCACTTCAGGAGCAGGAAGGGACAAAGTTAATGACAACATGGTCGTGTTCTTTGCTGAGGAAGCTCAACTTCAGGATGATATTGATGATTGCTTTGCCACGCAGGCGCTCAATGCGGCAGCACATGACGCGATCATGCATCCAGGAGAAGATACTTTGGAATGTGTGTGGGACTATGCAATGCGGATTCCTCTGAGTGCTGACAGTTCCGAAAACAACTCAGTCTCTCAAAACGCCCTTCAAAATCGTGTCCTGGTGGATAAAGCATCGCTACATTGTCCATGGGAGGCTGTAGCATATCCAACGCATGGTGTTCTATCCTCACATGGAAAGGAACAAGGGTTGCTTTGTATTCCCAGGAATTTCTGGCGGCAGAACAGGTTATATTGATTGTGGCTCGGTACCGGTTCACATCAGCTTGCTTGGGAGAAATAATCATTGGTACCGATTGGTAACTGCGCATCACCGCTGATTTCGATATATATATGTAATACTGAGCGTTATGATAGCATTTGAATTCTTTATGCTTCCGAATCTTGTTCCTTCTCTTTCTTCTTCTTTGCCTACTTGCAATTCTACTTCTCGGTGACGAGGATATTTCATTCAGGAGAAGGGCCCAAATTCTAACCGAAGGTGGTCGAGTGTAGGGTCCAACAAGCCTTCAGTAGGGTATGGGTACATGTATATATCCAATGTATACCGTCTATTCTGTCTAATCATCATGTATAGCCGTCATCTGTACATAAGCCTGCACACTATTCAATCTGCGAGGGATCCCTATGCGCCTCGGCCCACGACGCTTCGAGGGATTCCTTCACGTCTCTCTCCGCAGCCGCTTGTTCGGCTGTCGCTTCCTCCGTGCTCTCAATCGTCTTGACCCGTCGCACCAGGTCAGTGACATGCATATCAGCACTCCCGAGCCCTAGCCCCTCTAACGCTTTCTCGAGCAGGTACAGATACTCGGTGTTCTTCCCACTCTGGCCACGCCCGCGGCTAATCACCTCCGCGACATCCTGCGGCTCGCGGCGAGCCGGATCGCGCAGGAATTGCGGATTGCTAGGCTGCCCGATATACACCATGCAAGTGATTGGTGCGGCGTGCGCCTGCGATGGCGACTGCGTCTCCGGCACTGTCCCCGTCTCCGGGGCTCTGGAGACGGTGGATACGGAGACGGCAGATATGGGATGAAAGGGGGTGTAGTGGACGGTGTAGCCGTCTATTTCCCGTTCGTCGAGGTAGTCGTGGACTTCCTCGGCATGGGAGGCGGGGATGTGGTATGCTGCGCCCCAGACGCGAGCTGTTGAGGATTCAAGATGTCCGTGCTGGTCGGTCAGACGCTGAGGTGAGATGAGTCGTGAGGAAGCTTACCGGGTCGTCTAGGGTTTCCCAGAAACCCCGTTCGATGACTGTTACCACCCGACCTGGCGCTTCTGGGGTGCCGCGATGGTCGGTACTACGGTTGATCAGCTATATCTCGGCAATATATGCATTTTGGGACTGTGTACCTGGCCTAGTGAATGTCAGAGACAATTAGAGAACGAACGGGTGCATCTGGTGAAGTACAAACCTGCCAGAAGCGTCGGACATAGCCATCGATATAGCCTGGAACTCGCTGGTCTGTACCAGCATTAGAGACAGAGGCCAATGTATGGTTAGACAGATGATACACACCATAGTGTGGTGGTGGCTTCCAAATGAGACTCCTTTACGACGAGTCAGCCTTAATTGCAGTTGGATTGAACCGGCAGGAGCATGACTTACCCATAACCAAACACCCAAAGGTCACCGTCGGGAAAGTAGTTGCGCCATGTTCGGCCAGCTGGCGTACTTTGAGTCGTTTCTGGAGTGGTCATATCTGCTGAAGCCCCAGAGCAGCTCGAACCATGTCCAACACACTTCTATAGATGAAGCTCGGGAAAAGGATGGTATCAAGCCGATGACCCCTGCCTCCGATCACGCACGACACAGAAGATCTAGCGAGCGATTAAACTGTATTTAAGGCAATTTTTTTTTCAGATGATCTCAGTAACGTATCAAGTATTCCCAAGAAAAAAGAGGGTATGTTGGACTAAGATGTCGATAGAATGGCGACAGTTTAATGCCAGATAATACAAGACGCGCTCAGTGTTTGCAATGTTTGTCTCCTCAAGCTCTACAGTCTGTCAGAGTCGATAATCAACCAGAAATCCTCCAGATAGAACTGCTCTGGGAGCCACTACTACCGGTCTTTCCAGGGAGCGCTTTTGCATCACTCCGCGGCCCTTTTTGTGTAGATGGCTAGTGGTATGCCAGCCCCGAGTTGAATGGAAATCACATCCATGGCAGAAACCGATCCAGCCGCTCCCCGCCACATCGTTCATTGATTCAACATCATTCCTCAAGTCGCCGACATCCCTCAATCCGGAGTGGTTCTTCCTGCTAGCCATATTATCTCAAGGTACTCAGGAAGAAGTGACGGACTAACGCGGTCTATCTCGTAACTTTCTAAGTGGGCTGCCGAGACGCCGCGGCAAGCCTAAGCAATGGACTAATTATTGGCTTCTCCTGTCTTGTACACAGATTTATGAGGTTACAGACTGCTCTATCTCTTATACCAGGTAAGTTCAAAATGTTATTATAATTAAGTGGCTCTTTCTATGTTAAATTTTGGTTGATATTCTACCTTCCTGCTTACTATAACAAGTTTGAGCGTTGAACTGATAATATAGGTCAAAATCTGCTCGCTGAAGCGCTTTGTTGTCAGCAGCTTGCCAAATTTACCTGCTGTATAAGGTCATGTAGCTCAAAGTTGCTTTTCTAACCCAGAGCAATATATATCATTCTGATACGCCGACATCAGCAACATATCCTTATTTTCTTCCCATTGCTATCATCATTAAGGCTGGCCTTTTCGCCTTCTGCAAATGTCGTCTCCAGAAAGCCGGACCGGATTTTCCTTTGCAGGCAAAACGGTGGTCCTGACTGGGGCAACCTCTGGGCTCGGATTCGAGGCTGCCATCAAACTGCTCAATCTCGGTGTGGACTCCCTTGTTATTGGCAGTCGCAACCTGGAGCGAGGAGAAGCGACAAAAGCCGACCTGGAGCTGCGCACCAACAGACCAGGGGTAATCCATGTCTGGGAATTGGACATGAGCAGTTTTCAAAGCGTGAAGAATTTCGCAGCTCGCGTCAACGCAGAGATCGAGCGGCTGGACATTGTATTGCTCAATGCGGGATTGTGGAATCGAAGTTACACAGCGTCTCCTGATGGATGGGAGGAGACGTTGCAGGTCAACACACTGTCCACTTCGTTGCTGGCGATTCTGCTTCTTCCTAAACTCCGGAGTAGCTCGTCTCCTGGAAGACCCAGTCACTTGAGTGTGGTATCAAGCAAATTGTTTACCAGAGTAAAAGTGGACGGTCTCCGGGCTGAAGGCTCACTGCTGGAAGATCTCAATGACCCCCAGCGCTTTACTGGGCCCCAGCAATACCGGATCTCGAAGCTCCTGATGGAGTTTGTTCTCAAGACGGTGGCGCTACACGCGCGTGAGGAGAATGGTTCAGTCCCAGTGATCATCAACACTGTCAGTCCTGGGTTCTGTGCGTCTTCTCTGGGACGGCAGTACGACCGATTCTACGAGCGATGGATGATGTGGTTAGTATATAAGCTCTTTGCTCGCACGGCGGAACAGGGGAGCCGGTCTCTGGTCTGTGCAACTTATCAAGGAGTCGAGTCACATGGGAAGTGCTGGAGCAATGATGGTTATGTGGAGTAAGCATATGGCCAATCTTTGTCCATTTGTGCTATGCTAATAGATATACAGTGAATCGGCTGCTTTGACCACGAAGGAAGAGGGCAAACAATTTCAAGCCAAAGCGTTTGAGGAAATATTCCAAGTTCTTAGGCATTCAGCTCCAGAGGTTGAAGAATTGATCAAGAAATCGTGATGGAGGTGTCAATATATGGCCTGCAAATAGAGGATCCACCCTGATATCAGCAAAAGTTACATATAACTGGTGGGCTGTTACCGTCACCAGGACTGGTAGGGCTGAACGTCATCTTGCCGTATAAAGAGGAAAAACAACGCTTGGTGGTTTGTCATTTGCTACAGAATTACATTGGAAGCTCGGGAAGAATTTAGATAACATACTTTCAGAGGTCATCTTCTGGATCCCAATGATAAAATCCCGTAGATCTATTGATTTGCTTATATCTTGGCAATCAACGGACTCGAAGATTGCCCCACGGCACCGCTTTCGCTTTTGCTGTACGAGTACGACGAAAGAGCTAAAAGATGGCCCAAGTCGCACCTGAACTTACTCCGAACTCCTGAATCACCTTCCATCTATCTACTTCATCTTCCCCATTTATCTTCTCTATGAAGACGTGGATGTCTTGAATTCTCCCCGTCTTTTTTAATAGGAGCGCTCTCCTCCGTGTCCCTCACTGTTCCCGCCCTCTGTTACGCCAGGCTACCATGGCTTACAACAAGTCATACAACCCCGATGCGCTGCCAGCGTAAGTGATTGTGAATGATGAGGTGACTCTGTGTCTGACTGACCGAGGAGGGCAGGCATGCTGAACCGGAACAAGTACGAACAAACTGCCGTCAGACAGATGTCCCACCCCCGCGACTGACTACCAGCAGGTCGCCCAGTTGATCGGCTCGATGCAAGTATCCTCACAACCGCAGGCTCAACGACCTCCTCGAACATCGTCTCATGCTCCGCCCGGCGGCCACCCTCAGCGAGTTCCCGCCACGAACGCTCAGATCAACAAGCCCCTACCTGCGACTGGGCCGCCACCCGCAAACCATGCGCGTCCGCATCCCCTCCACCCCTCGCCTCCACCCCAAAACTACGGCTTCGGGCCCCCTCCTTCGCAGCCCGTACGCAATCGTCCTTCCCCAGTGTCGCGTCCACCTCAATCCCCCCATCCGCCTCCTCTGTCCGCGCCGCACGATGACCCGCAGCAGCTCTTCCCACTCTTCCGCGCGGCCAATGCCTCGCACTCGGGCGCTTTGACCGAGATGGAGCTCGGATCCGCCCTCGTAAACGGCGACTATACCTCTTTCCATCCCAAGACCGTCAAGATGATGATCCGCATGTTCGACAGGAACAGCAGCGGGACCATCTCGTTCGACGAGTTCGTAGCGCTATGGCGGTTTCTCGCTGCGTGGCGGGAGCTCTTTGACCGGTTTGACGAGGATCGCAGTGGGCGCATCAGTCTGCAGGAGTTTGAGAAAGCGCTGGTTGCGTTCGGGTATAGGCTCAGCCAGTCATTTGTCACGGTGCTCTTTACCACGTTTGAGAGCAAAAAACAACAAATAAACGGCGGGCATGGGCTGGCCAAGGATGGGATGAGCTTCGATCTGTTTGTGCAGGCGTGTATCAGTCTCAGACGGATGACGGACGTGTTCAAGCGGTATGACGAGGACCGGGACGGGTATATCACACTGAGCTTTGAGGAGTTTTTGACTGGTAAGTGGCTCTTCGAGGCAGTCTGGTCTGATTGATTGACTGACAGATGACCCGATGTCGTGTAGAGATCTTACAGTTACAGGACTAGAGAGGGATGGGTGGATTGTGCATTGTGTGTACATGATCATTCTGTGTTTTGAAAGTGTGTTTGACTTCTTGTACTTTTTATGCGTCTTTTTCCCCCCTACATACATTATACCCCTGAATAAATCATTGAAGCCATAACACAGCTCGTCACAACCTCAATGGTTGTCTCACCGATGCTGTACTCCCGTGCCAAGGAATGCTTGATATTAGACAATGCATATGACGCTTGAGAAAAATAAAAAGAAAAGAGCTCGGAGGATAAAATATTCTAAATTGTTCTCTCAAATCACACCTTCACCTGCTTTAAAGGCTTCTGCCTAGTTCTATTGCGAAAAGCATCAATTGTTAACAGACATGTGAATAATATCCTAAATTCCATGTAGTATGGATATCCACATTCTTTCCACCAACAATTATTCTCTCACTGTTTGTATCATCAAACAGATCGTATTCGGACACGCGAGTGTGACTCAATGACCATCATGAAGGAGAAAATATCCTAGCATGTTATCGGCCTTCGCGTCGGAGTCGGAGTCGCATAAGGTCGTTAACGCCGACAGTCTACCTCTCTACACTAGCGGTTGGCTTCTTTTAAGGGTTCAAGGCTCGAGGCTCCAGGAACTTAAGATTGCGAGTGATTCTGGTTTTTTCTTTCTTCACCTTGATCTAAATCACTGAACTTGTCTTCAAGTGAAGTTATACCCATTGGCAGTCCGTCATTGTGTCGATTGACCATCAACTAAATCTTCTCTTCTGTATTTTCTTTTTAAGCTCGGCTTTACCCGAAACTTTTTGCAACTGACTCGTATTCTCTTGCTACTTCCCCGCTGCCAAGTCGAGGCGACTGGAGTAGATAATCGTCAGATTTCTTTTTCTCTACCCGTTCTATTCTGCTCAGATCATGACAGTAGACAGGGAGAAAGATCATGACTACGAGAACGATAACAACAGCAGTTTAACCATGTCGGACAAAATTTCTCGCTCTGGGGAGGACAGCTTGGAAAAGTCCGCCACTATGACGCCTCCGTCAATTGGGGATGATCAACTGCCTGTCAACAACTCAGATCATCCGTCCCCTGAGAAATCTGACGGGAAAGATGTTGAGAAAGATGGCGCGCCGTTGGACCGGACGCACTCTCAGGCGCAGAAGTTGGGGAAGAAGAAGATTCTGATTATCATGCCTGCGCTCTGTGTATGCTTCCTCCATAGATATTGACATAGCACTGTACTGATGATTTCTAGTTGGTGTTGTTTCTGGCCGCTTTGGATATGGTACGAGCCTTTAACTCTTATTGATTATTCACAGACGAGACTGACTTGTCTAGACGATCGTCTCGACGGCCCTTCCAACCATGGCTGCCCAGTTTCACGCCTCGGAAAGTGGTTATTCATGGATGGCTTCCTCGTATCTGCTCGCCAATGCGGCCTGCATCACCCTCTGGGGCAAGATCAGTGACATCTGGGGCCGTAAGCCGATACTGCTTATGGCCAACGTTGTGTTCCTTGTCGGCAGTCTGATTTGCGCTCTTGCAACCAGCATGACCATGATGCTGATTGGACGAGCGATCCAGGGTGCAGGAGGTGGTGGTATCATTGTCTTGGCCAATATCTGTGTTACTGATTTGTTCAGCGTCCGGTAAGCTGAACCTCTTTCTTTGCTTTCGACTACTCAGTGCTGACTCTTCAAGGGAACGGCCGATGTACTATGGCCTTTTCGGTATGACGTGGGCCATCGCGGGTGCTCTAGGCCCCATTATCGGAGGCGCCTTTACGACTGCTGTGACCTGGAGGTGGTGTTTCTACCTGAACTGTACGTATTACTTCGTTTGCCTGTGGTGAAACCAAGCTGATTTGCTTCAGTACCCGTCGGTGGCGTCTCGTTGGCAATCCTGGTCTTCTTCCTCAAGCTCGAGTCCGGTGGCACGCCGCTGTTCGAAGGCCTCCGGTCTATCGATTGGTCCGGCACTGTCCTCATCATCGGAGGCACGCTCATGTTCCTCTTCGGGCTGGAGTTTGGCGGCGTCGACTACCCCTGGGCCTCGGCCACAGTCATCTGTCTGATCATCTTCGGCGTGGTGGTCTGGGTCCTAGCGATGCTCAACGAGTGGAAAGTCGCCAAGTATCCTCTGATCCCTGTGCGACTTTTCAAAAACTGGCACAACCGTCTCGTCCTCATCGTCTGCTTCTGCCATGCCTTCGTCTTCATCGCCGGCTCCTACTACCTCCCGCTCTACTTCCAGACCGTGCTGCAGGCCTCCCCGATCCTCAGCGGCGTCTACGTCCTACCCCTGGTTCTCAGCCTGTCCGTCGTCTCCGCAGGCACAGGCATCATCATCAAAAAGACAGGCCGCTACCGCGAGCTGATCGTCGGCGGCCTGGGCCTCATGACCCTTGGCTTCGGCCTTCTCATCGACCTCAAATACTACGCCTCCTGGCCCCGCATCATCATGTACCAAATCATCGCTGGCGTAGGTGTCGGCCCTCTCTTCCAGGCCCCCCTCGTCGCCTTCCAGGCCAACATCCACCGTTCCGACATGGCAACCGCCACCGCAACCTTCGCCTTTCTCCGCCAGGCCTCCTCCGCCATTGCCGTCGTCCTGGGCACAGTCGTCTACCAGAACGTCCTCGCGCGCCAACTGCCCGCCATCGAGGCCGTCACAAGCCCCGAAACGGCAGCCACAATCGCCGGCTCCTTCGCCGGCTCCACCAGCTCGCTCGTCAAAACTCTCCCCGAGTCTGCCCGCATCGTCGTCCTCAAGGCCTTCACGCACAGCCTGAGCAGGCTGTGGATCTTTTACACGGCTGTCGGCGGCTTCGGCTTCGTCATCAGTCTCTTCATCCGGCCCGTCGAGCTGAGCAAGGCGCACACCTTTACGAAAACCGGTTTGGCGGAGCAGGAGCGCGCCCGGAAGGAGATCCTTGCAGAGCAGAAGGCAGAGGCGGCCGCCAAGCGGACAGATCCGTCGCCAAAGGCGGAGGTATAACCCGCCCCCATAGCTCTCTTCATTGTTTCTTTCTCGCATGTGTAGACTTAGATTTAATGTACATAGTCGGTAATTAGGATTGTGTGTGGGATACTTTGATTTGCGTTGCATGATTGGTGCGTACATAGTGCTTTTGCATTACACTCTCCAAAAGTCAGGCGCCCTTAAAGCGTACCTTCATACATACTCATTCTCTGCTTTTCAGTAGGACGGCTATGATTACTAGCTGTAAAAGTCTGAGGCGAGTGCTACGCTGAAGAGATTCACAGAGGAGCCTCGCAGCTCAAACAATTCTTTTACCTAATTAGTACAAGCAAATACGAATCACATTCCCAAGTTCTTCCAGAAAACGCACTGGAGCCGTATCAACAGCAAGAGCACCAGAAAAAAAGGAAAGGGGTATAAGCTACCAACAAATCCAAACTGACAAATGAGAGGTGACAGCCAAAAAATGAACGATGAGCCCGTGAAGCCATCGCAATATTCAAGAAAGTAGAGAAAAGAAGCCCCAACGCCCTAAAATGCCTTAGGTGAAACACGATTTTAAGACAAATCAAATTGCAAGTCCAGTCCAATGAGCAATCATGTCTTAGATTTCTTCGCTGTTCCCTCGATGCTAGGACCGCTGTCGGGACTTTTGCGCTTCTTCTCCTGTTCATCTTCGCGCGTGAACCCTGGACCGGTCTGAACAGCTGGAGTGGGAAAGGTCAGAGGACTAGGCAGCATGTTCGTATCGGGACCGGACCTGCCGAACCCCCATTCCGGGAAGAAACTCGACGGCGATGGAAGAAGAGCATCAGACACGAATCGACTGGGTAGAGCAGAGATCGGCGTCTCAATGTTGTTATTGCTGTTGTACGCGTTGCTGTTCTGGCTTGCGGTTCCCGGCGGCGGTGGCCGAGCGAAGGGATTTGGGGGCCCTGTGGCGCCTGCGCTCAGGATTGCACCGGCAGATGGCGATGGTGGAGGGAGAACAACGCCGGAGTGATTGGTATCGGGATTAGCCTTAGCAGGAGTCACGGTCTTGTTTCCGGTGGACGCCGAAGAATCTGCTGTAGCGCTCCCCCGGTCAGAATTCTCGCTTGGTATCTGCACCTTGAGCTGTGGCCGCTTCGAGGGCAGTTGACCACTATTCGTCCGTGGCGGTGGCTTAATATCAGGAGCTGACCGAGACCGCGTCGCGTCGGTTGCGGTCCTAGGTGGGGGTGGGGGCGCAACAGATTGAGCGGGTGGCTTGATTTCTTTCAAGTCATTCTGTTTTGATTCTGCCTTGACGTCTGTACTCTCGGTGCGTGGAGACTCGCATGTAGGCGGGCCAAGTCCGAAGTGACGGGCCAGAACGGAGCCGCGATCATCGATCGGCGTGAAGATACTGCGCGATTTCGAGGACAACGATCGCTGGTGCGGGGGAGAGGGACTTGTTTCCACCTTCAAAGGACCAACCATCTGATCTGCCGAGGAAGCATCGGGTAAGGACACCGGCCGAGGTGGTTGCGACTGTTCTGTCGGAAACGCCGGGGGCATCGAGTTTCTCCCTTGTTCGGGCAAGAAAGGCTGCGCGACCTGTGGCATTGACGCATGAGGCGCTTGCGAGAGTCCCATCGCAGGTGTCTGCTGAGCAAGCGGATGTGGATGCTGGGAGAGATGCTGCGGGGGTTGATGGTGCGGCGGGACTGGTTGAGGCATGGTATGTGGAGGAATAGCGTGCGGCGGTAGTGGCGGTTGCGGTCCATAGTGTGCGAATTGGGGTGGCCGCGGTTGTTGGGCCATGTTGGGGTTTGCATTGGGATGATACATCGAGGGATTGGGAATATATGCGAACCCATTCTGTGGAGGAGGCGGTGGAGTTCCATGATGTTGCTGCGGGCCGAGATTCGAACTCACGCGTCGAAGATGGTTTCTTGAGGATGGCCTCGAAGCGCCTTGAGGTTGCGGAGTGCCATGTCGCGGGTCAAAGGGTATTCCATTAGAAATGGGCGGGGAGGCAGACGGTGCGTGATTGACGTGCTGAAAACCGGGATGGCTAGGGATGTGAGCGGGAACGACAGCAGGTGGGTTCTGGGTTGTAGGTTGCATCTCTTCCGGAGCAGGAGTGGTTTCATCCTCGTCATCATCATCGTCCCTTTTCCCATTGAAGTCCTCAGGGCCTTTATGTTCGTGCGGCGGGCCGTACTGATATTCATGTCAACGTACTTGAAATAATGCGGATAATGGATGGAACGCACGTATTGATATCGACCCAATGTCTCTCGCATATCACATGATGAGAATTCATAGAGCTTCTTGTTGTGACCAAAAATGATGACCGCGACATCTACCGAACATAATACCGCGAGTTCATGCGCCTTCTTGAAAAGACCGCCCTTTCGTTTCAAAAAGGTACTAGAAGCAGTTGACAATGTGAGTCAGTGTCGCATTCAAGACCCTACTGGGTGATGGATGCAGGACGACTTACACTGATCGGTTGCGATCATCCTTGATCGCCTTGATCTCGATCTTTCTTCGACCCATGGGTGATGCTTATGTGATAAGCAGTAAACAAGGAAGACCACGCGTCAGACAGTTACAGAGGTTGTTGAAACACACAGCAGGACAACCAGAGGACGATGTGGAGATGAGTTTGTTCGTAATAAATGGCGCGGCGCGAGTTGAAACTCAAGAAGCGCCGCTTGAAGGGGGGATAGATAGATAGCGGAGCGCGATGGGTAAGGATAAAAGCCTGTGCTGCGGGCGCTAGATTGCAGTCTCTCCCAGCTGCTTTTGGTCTCCTATTTTCTTATTCCTACTGATCGTAGAATACTATCGTTTGCAGACGGCCTTCTCCACATCAGATGGGATGAGATGGCAAAAAAATAACGAACGGAAGGATCAGGGGAGTTAAAGAGCGCTAGAGGGAATATGATGGATGATGCCCTTACGGAGGGGAGGGATAAACCCGCGGGCGCGACGACAATCAGGGCGTTTGACCCGTCGGGAAGAACACACAACACAATTTGGCGACAAGGATAAGAAGCCTCTAGACTCCTCGGGCCACCGAGTGAGAAGAAAAGTCAATCAGGGGAGGAATAAAAATGGTAAGATGAATGGATGCGAAAGCTCGATGAAGATAGGATGGAACGACAAGAGTCGATGGACAGCGACACGCGGGTGATGCAGAAGATTCTAAAGATAGAATAGAATTGATGGAAGGGAAAAAAGTGGGATGGTGACTTTTATGGCATCGTTCCGAGTTCTCCATATGTGTGGCTGGTGCTGGCACATGATTCGTCCATAGCTCGCTATAGACAGCCGCCGTTGCCGACCCTTAGGCGCCGACTATTTTTAGCCAGTTCGAGTCGATATCTTATAAACCGTGCTTTCTTGTGAATCGCTACTGGCACAGTCAATATAAGACGTTGAATCACACTGAGATATCATCCCAGTAGATATTGCACGTATTTTCATATCATCAGCATCATTGAGTAGGTGGCCTGGTCAGGCTGGCAGCCACACGAGCCTGGACCTGCACAGCCACATCCGGACCAGAGCTCCAAGCTTCGATAATCAAATATGGTCAGTGCCGTGCTCAAGCGTCATTGATTCGATATTGATTGGTTCTTTGGGCTCATCGTTGATGCTTTTCATGAATCATTAGCTATGGTTGATGGGCCATTATAGATCGACTGTGTCTGCTTACCGTGGTTAACAGATTAGGGCTGTGAAGCAGTATATGGAAGCTACATATATTCCACAGCATGGACCCTTGAACGTGTTTCCCTGATAGAATAATATCCCATTGACAATTGTGCAGATTGTGGATCGTTTATCAGTGCGCTAAATCTTGATATCATCTCCTGATGAATAAATATGAGATCCTTGGAAGTTCCTCGCAACCTGTCCAGGGCTATTCCCAAGAGTTCGACAATTGCAATGCGTAACTGTCGGGTCAGAGTTGTAAATCAATAACTCAAGCAGTGCCCAAATTTCCTGCAAGTCTCCATCCAGATATTGATCATACTAAGCTGCAAGCTGGTCACTTGACATGCAGGCGTACAGACGTACAGGTTTGGTTCCATTCTAGTCTGTTATGCTTATTTATGCGTGCTGCGATCAACCGGCCTTGATCATGGACGACGAGGGTTGGGCATATCACAGCCAGACCAGGCGTAATTTGCATTGCATAGCTGCCAGATGCGCCTATACCCTTCTGATTTGTCGCTCGTCACAATTTGAGCTGCGGAAACTGGGGGTTGATAAAGAGAGGTTATCCTACCAACAACCTGAGCTAGCAATCGGCTCCGTCCTTCATGGCTTATGCTCTCGGTGAAGACGGGTCGAAATGTCGGCTTCCTGTCTGTAATAGGCAAATATGGGGGAGAGGTAATACTTGACTGTACTCTGATGACTTTAGGAGTTTATAGAAGAAGGATCAGACGCATGCTACATTATTTCTATCAAGGCAAGATAGCTCGGTGCTCCGTATTTCTTTGATTATTGTGACAGGGACTTCACCGCTCATTGTCCATATATGATGAATAGCAACAAGCAGAAAAGCTAGGAGCCTGAGAGGTATATGTCCAAGGACCTTTAGATCCATCCAATAATTCAGTCCTCTAGCAATCCAAACTTAAGTATTTGAGTCACGCTAAACTGCGCAAAACCAGTTTGATCTTTGTAACAGCTTCAAAATGGATGGTACTGACCTTTCCTAATTAGGTGTAGTGTGTTTTATAGTTGATTTTATAGTTATGGGGATTAAGTCTGGACTTTCTAGGTACAGAGTAGACTAGATAGATATATTCACACAAAATGCTCTTAGCGGTCCACAGGACACTATGACAGACTTTATCAATAAAGATATGCCCAATTCCATTTGTAAAGACAATTGCTCATTCTTTTTGATGCCGTATTGTTGTTTACTCGATGGGCGTCAACTATAGCTGAATCGTCTCCCCGCTGTACCTATCTAGTCAGGGCCACTGAACCATGGCATGGCACCTTTTTGGGCGTAAGTAATTGAATTTCAGCCCCTGAAACGGGCAACACAGTATAGCTAAGGCAGATCCTCATCATCACCAACTCTTTATTTCACTTCCTAGTTTTCTACCTTCATCGTTCCTCCTTTCTTCTCATTTTCTGTGTTTTGGGGTCTTTTTCTGTGTGCTTCCTCTTTCCCCATGGTCTCTCCTTTCTGTCTTGTCTAACTCTTTCCACTTGTCCCACCCACGATCTTCATGTGGTTGTCCACTCTCGTTATACCAGATCCAATCAATCCACTTTCATACATACATCACATAGTATTCGCTACACGCTAGGTAGACGTGCTGCCCCATTCAGGGCTGCAGTTGTGCCAGTTGATCCCTTGGACACCTGGACGTCGGCCTAGTTGTCTGTCCGTCTGCTGTGTGGCATCCAGCTTTGGCAATCGTTAGACTCAATTATTGACTGCCTTATAACTGTTTCTTCTTTCCTTCTTCCCGCCTGGCCCTGCCTGATTCCTTGGTGATCTCCTGTCTATTCTGTAGTCTTATTTTTCTTTTCTTTTCTTTTTTTCCCCCCCCTGCTCTATCCCGCCAGTTTGACCCTTGCATTTTCGCACGGTGCATTGCGAAAATCGCAGAAATTGGTCTGTCAATCCCTTGATCTGTTTGCTATCTATACCCATCGGTTTGATCCGCATTTTCGGGACGCGACTTTTGTACTCCGCCCCTGAGTATTTTTCCTGATTAGCCAAGCAACATAGCAGCGGCTTTCTATCCAGTGGAGCCGACATCCGTGGAAGAAAGATGCCCTTTTTCACTCGTGTCTTTCGGAGCAAGGACTCCAATGCTGCAAAGAAATCAACCAAGAACCCCGTTGTCGAAAACACGGGTCCCGCAAAGCCCACATGGACCGACGCGTGGCAGCGAACGGAAGTCGCTCCTGAAGAAGTTCAGGAGCTCCTCCGTGGATGCACTCAAGAATTGAAGGCTCGAGGTATGTCTGATTGTTTTGCTATCATGGATTTCCAGTATCGGATTGTCAATTACTGGCGCCCACTCCACTGTCAAATCTTGAGACATCCACATTCTTCAGATCGCTGATCCTTGCTTCGTTTTGTCCCGTTTGACAGCTCTCCAAACACCGTTTCTACTATTACCGTTCCGCCCGACCACCGAGTCCTCCGATGCACGTTATTTCATCCGTAACTACTTTAATAAGTCTGTCGAGAAGGGCGCGCCTTGGAGTGGAGATGTATTGTCGCAAGAGCTCCGACTTACTGACCCGACGGTGAGCCCATAGCAACAAATCGCCCACATGTCGGAGCATAACATGGCTGACCGGTTCGATGGACAATCATAGGTCCTCTGCAGTGTCTTGAAATGGTGCTGGAGCAGACTCCCCGGAGGAGTTGTCACCTGGGACGCGTATGAACTCTTCAAAGTTGGCGAACAAGGTATGGGCTTGCACTACATAACGGCCGGCGGCAGGTTGCACAAGGCTGATCGGATCGCAGATTCTCAACTCGCCCGCGACGCGTTCTCAACGTTCATACCAATCAGTGTCGACTCGGATGCTCGAACCAAGATCATTTTTGACTTTTTCGACCTGCTAGCTGCCGTTGCAGCGCACGGCAAGTCCAACGGTCTCGGAGGCCGGAAGCTCTCGAGGTATGCTGGGTGGTGGGCCTTTGAGCATTCGGATACGGGCAATGGCTTTGAAGCTGCCTACAAAAACTGGGCCGCGTATGTTTTCTTCCAATCGAATCTATCAGGACTAAAATAGAAGGGACTGACCATTTGTTTCAGCGCTGCTGATGCCACGAGCCATTTGTTCTTCGCCTATCTCCGCTCGATATCTCCCGACTCTCCCCGTGGTATAAGCGGTATCTCGACCTTGCCCATCGCTCTCCAATCCCTGGTCCAAGCAACGGAGTACCCCCCTGAAACGCCGACCCTTCTGCAGGTCTCGACCACAAAAGTCGTCATGATCGTTGATACCGTCTCACCGACTCCGTTCGCCTTGTTGCGACGTGCGAAGAACTTCGAATACCGGGACAGTGACCGGCATTTGCAGGAGTTCGCCAGCTTTGACGATCCCGTCAAGGCCCTTACCGACGAGTGTTTGCGTGTCTTGAAATGCATCTCGTCAACGAATCAGTCCAGTACCTCCGACCCGACGACATCGGTGCCAGAAGCGTCCTGGTCGCGGTTTGAGGATCTGGGATTTTCCGCCGCCGACTTGGACAACGATGCGGATGCGACTTCGTTAGCAAGGAACGAGTTTGCGGGCGGTCTTCGGTCCGCTCCTCATTCCGTTGCGGGGGATTTTGGTCGCCCTACGACTCCATCTTGGGCAGATTTCATGTCCTCTGGCTTCAATGACGGCAACGGCTTCAAGCCTCAAGTTGCTCCTTTGCTCCTTCCGCCCGACAAGGTCCTGCCTCCAATTGCTACGGTGCGAGGTCAAAGCTCTCAGTCTCACAAGCGTACTTTGGACTCAGAGCTTCCGGCCGAACCCGCCGAGCTTGCCAGCATCGCCACACTGGATCTGGACGACTCTTTCTGGTGGGTCTGGATCAGCAGTTTGGCAGTAGAGGAGCCTGCTTCGCGGAAGGCCGTATTTGGTAGGTGCGCATTGATCGAAACGATCATCAAGGACACAAAGTGGTTAGTTCTTGAGGAGCAGGTTAAAGGCGCTGCGCCGGAGCCTGAACCAGGTGCGTACATTGTCGAGAAAAAGAGGTTTTTTACCTTCTCAACTCGCAAGGGAAAGATCGGTCGGCGCAAGTCGTCGGCCAAGAAAGTGTCTGCCGTTGAAGAGTCTTATAAGCGCGCCAACAATCTCGCTCCTCACAGTAAGTCTAGCATTGCACCTGATCAGCATGCTCGCATTCAGGCTGCTGCTGCGGCTTTGCAGAAGAAGCATCGGGAACAGGAGGAGGAGGCTGTTAACAGATCGAAGGCTAGCGTGCCGAAGGACTCGCGGTACTCGAAGGCAAACTCCATTATGTCTTTGCAACCGGGAATCATGAGTGAGGCTTCGCAAGCGATGAAGTGGGCCAGCAATTATGACAAGAATGCCTATCGCGCCGCCTACCTCAAGGACACCCGGGCCGGGACAGGCACACTGGCCGAGGAAAATGGGGCGGCCGTGAACGACAAGATGCCAGAGCCGCCAGCTTCTCCGGCACTGAGTTCGTCAACCCGCCAGGCGCCACCTCCGGTGCCCAAGGACAGCGTGCCAAGCTCTCCCACACCGGTTGCGCATCAGCAAAGGGGCAGTGTGGACGGAAGTGCCACCACCAGACAGGACAGTATCAGTGCTGCTGCTGAACCTTTGCCCAAGCAGTCAACTGACACGGCAGATGATTCGAGAGCCAGACTGAAGAAGAAGCCCGGTAACACGGGCTTCAAGAGTATGTTCGGGACCAAGAAGAAGGACGTGGAGTCGAAACCGCCAATGAAACCTACTGGGGCTCAGCCGTCCGCTGTTGCTGCTGCTCGTGCGGCTTTGGAAGGCAAGGCCAAGGAATCCCAGGAGACAGTTCGCCCCAATGGCGCCTCGACTTTGAGGAAACCCGTTCCAGCTCCGGCGGCGGCTCCCTCCGCTGCTCCGGCGAAAGTCGCAAGCCCACCGGCAGACGTGGAGAAACCAGTCCCTGAGCCGCAGACCGTCACTGCCGACGAACAGCATGATGGCCCCCCCAAGACCCGTCGTGATGCTGAATATGATGCACTTTCCCGCGTAGACACCAATGAGCGAACGGCGGCCGATCGCGAATTCTCTCGATTTGATCAGGGCCCTTTGGTGGATCAGCCAGCATTCGCTCCTGAGGATTCTCCTATCTCTGAGACATTCCCTGGCAAGTCCGCGCCTGCTGCCGCTGTTGACGAAACCCCCGACAGGACCGGAGTTTCCGAACGCGCAACGAGCCCTACGGCAGCCCCGGCCACTTCATCCTATGACCGCTGGGCACAGATTCGCAAAAATGCCGCGGAAAGGGCCGCTAAGCTTGAGCAGTCCGGTTCCTACCGATATAGCCAAGATGAAGGTAACACGAGCGAAGAAGAGAGTAAGTGGAGCCGGTTCCCTTGAACTGGCAATAACAATGCTGACTCTGACCAGGCTTCGAGTCTCGTGCTGCTCGTATCAAGGCGAGAGTGGCCGAATTGACTGGAAATATGCAGGCCGCAAGCTAAAAGACGTCTAATTTCGGCTTGGCCTCTCCCATTCAAGACCATTCCACTTCCATAAGTCCTTCGTTGCTTTACTTTTGCCTCATTGCCTGGTCCAGTGCCCGGCTGCCTTCGATCGGTAGACTTTATACGCCCGATGTTTTTGATACTCCTTCCATGGCTAGGTCTCATCTTTGACAGCGAAAGGACAACAAAATCACGCCATTATGCCGCTTGTTTTCTCGCCAGTTTGCATTCGACATTGTTGTAATATTCTGGTCGATTCCTCTATCTTCTTTCGATGACCGGATGTGATTCTATTTTTCTATCTCCTGTCGCTTCAATTCGTGATTTCACTTGATTCCCCTCTTGTTGTATGTTTTCTGCGTGTTCTTGTTCCATATACCTTGGCAGACTTTGTGAATCCAAACAATTCTGCTTCTCGTCTATTGACGCACTCCTTCTGACACTCGGCCCAATGTGACCCTGAACTATGGTATACTCGGGCCAACGAGATCATTCGCACCCCAATACCCTCAGAATCTCCCTAGCCACGCCGGCCGCACTGGCCGGATTCTGCCCTGTAATCAGCGGCGAGTGCAACCCGGCCGTCGTAGATACAACCACCTTCTCCGTCCCAGCTCGGTCCGCCTTGACATATCCTCCCCCAGATACCCGCTCCAGCTCTGTCTCCAATTGAAACGGCATAGCAGCCGCCATCCCCGCCGCGTCCTCCTCCTCCCTCGAGAACCCCGTCACCCGCGCTCCAGCAAGCAAAGGTGCCCCCGACGGCGCGGTCGCATTCAGCAGCGCCGCAGGCCCATGGCTGACCGCCGCGATGGGCTTCCCCGCCGCTGCGACATTCTGTATCAGGGCAAGCGAGGCCGCGTCCCTTACGAGGTCAAACATCGCTACACAATCACCATGCACCATCAACATCATGCAACGTAACCTCAGGTGTAGATCGTAGACATACCCCCGCGCCCACCAACATAGAAGACCGCATCGAAATCCCCCGCTCCCGCCCGGGCAACCATCTCCCTAATCTTATACGTGTGCGTCCAGGCCTCCCAGTGCCGCGCTAGAGCGGTCATGTCGGTTGTATCGGATTCTGGTCTAGCCGAGGCAGAGGCTGAGGCTGGATCGAGGGGTGCTTCGCCGCCTTGGGGGGAGGCCATGGTGAGGGCGACTTTGGGTTCGAGGATGGAGTAGGGGTGCGCGAGTTCGGACTGGATGGTCCGATTATTTCATTGTGAGTGGTTGAATGTTTGGGAGGAAGTGGACGTAACGTACCAGGTGCCAGCCTGTTTGTTGGCGGGTGGCGGGGATTAAGCCCTGCGAGGTGAGGATTATGAGGACGTGGGGCATTTTCAAGGCTGCTCAATTGATGGATGATACTGTTTGTGGTCGGAGTGTATAGATATGCTGTCTGTTTGGGAGATGTATGCTGACTGACTGACTGGCTTGATTTGACTATATCAGTATATCGTCATCTCCTACGTCAGTCAATTGCTACTTAGTCTGGAGACAGGTGAAAGCTTATGTTGAAGATTATGTATTATCATTAGTTCACTATATACCAATCATTGGCACGGATGGTCGCCGGCAGATCTAAGAAAGGATATATCCAGAATGTATATACAGTCGACGATCTGGGTATCAACGGATATGAATAAGGGGAGCCAAACGATGCAAGACAAGAAATTGAGCAGGAAACGAGACTCGCTGATCGTACATCGTCAGGGGAATATATGGAGATTCAGTTAAGCACTCAGAGCTGTCAGCGAGCATAACGAAGTCGTCGAGTAGCTTCGGCCGCTACAAGTGCACACAAGGCACCCACAAACAGGCAGATGGATATAGCATTAGGACCCTCTTTATCTCGGCGTATCCATTGCGAGTCCTGCGCAGAGTCGTCCCGTTTCGTACTGCCGGGTTCGAGGAGGCTGAAGACGATCCAACTGATGAATGTGCCGACAAATTGCGGTAGCGTAGTGTATACATTCAACACGCCGAGGTAGATACCAGCCAGTTCGCCAGTGGAAGGAATATTTGCGTCATCATCGGAATCACTGTCGCTATCCGTATCATGGTGATTGAGTCGCAGGACGTCCATCTCCGTGTCCGTGTCATGAATGCCGGAACGGATAGTAGAAGAAGTAATCATTGTCACGCCAGAAGAGCGCGCTGCAGCTGCAGGTCCCATCGCCAGCTTGTTGATTTCCACTCCCATGAATGCAAAAGGAGCCCAGCTGCTGATCGCCCACGGAATACCACATAGGGCGACGAGGCATGTTGCAAATGCGCGAGACTGGGCCAGAGGTGCAAAAATCATGGTCGCAGCGAACATCACATGAGATATCAGCCATGATGTCTGCAGGTCTGGTCGTACCGCAGTGATCTTCTTAAGAAGTGCAGCTATACCAGGTGGTGGGCGCGGTGTGAATCTGGACCGTTTGCTGTCCGGAGGTTGCACACAGAACGGTAGAAGCACAGAGCTGATGAAAGTGATGGAAGAGAAAACCACCAGAGACAGACTGCCGACCCGTCCAATTTCGCCGAGAAAGTCGCTTGACTGAGGAGCGTCTTTCGGGACTTCGTACCGGAAGTAGGTCTCACCGACCCACGTAGTACTATAGAAAAGGAAGGGGAACCAGCCTAAAGCGAGTCAGCAACAACTTCTAAATCTTCTCGAAAGATGCTATACCAATCCACGCCCAAAACTGCGCCCAACAGATTGCCTGGATCCGAGGAGGAAGGTCCATTGTCGTCTTGAAAAGCTGAGAAATGACTTGGACCGCTCCCGCTTTTCCATCGGAGTCCCTGGATAATCAAAATTAGTACTAATATAGACAAGCTGATTCCGATTATGGTCACCTGGCAGTAATCAGTATCCTCTCCTCCACTGAATAACAGGTGACGGAAACAGCCCCAATCAGCGAGAGTGCAGCAATGACTGTCATCTGTTTAAACTGCGTATCACCGATAATGGCACCGAAGAGGCTGACCGTATCGATTGAACCAATAACATAACTAATCAGCTGACCAATTGCGGACATTCTGGTAGCTGAACGTTGTTAGCTTTTGGCCTCGTGGACAGAGGTAGGATCATACCCCATGCTGAACCAGCTTGTTGCAATGGAATCGGCAATGTGTCGACGATCAAGCTGCGACAACAAGCTTGGACTGAAGGATGTCAGCGTAGTCCAGATGAATGCGTCAATATGCTCACCGATATTAATCGCAAAGTCGACTGCATAGATACTGAGGACGGCAAGGGCTATGGTGACATTTTTTGACTGATTGAAGTGAGCACTGAGTCGCAACAGATGCCAAAACCCGGCCCAAATAGAATAGACACACCTTCTCTGCATCTTTCACAAATAGGCTGACAATTTCTGTCGTCCATCCCAGCACTAGCAAACACAATGCCACAATAGCCGAGCCAACGACCATAAATGGCCTGCGCCTTCCCCATTTCGAGCGTGAACGATCCGCAATGACACCGATCAAAGGCTGAATGATCAACCCAGACAAGGGGCCAGCAATCCACACAAGTGAAGTCCGTGACTTTGTAAGACCCAGCTGGAGCAGGTACGGCGTGCAATCTATCTCGAGGACGGGAATGGGTCAAATCGCAAGAAGCGGTGGCTCCGGTGGAAGGAAAGGCTTACAGGTCATTTCAATGCCCCATGTAAATCTGCAACAGGAAAATAATCAGTAATCTGGTTGTTGAGCAAGATCAAAAACATCGGCAGTGGTAAACGAAAGTACATACTGTAACCCCAACAAGCTGAATGTCAACAGTGCCATTCGCATCGACTCCGACTTTCCCTTGATGGAGGGAGAACCCACCCATCTTGCAGCCTGTGGCATCCTTACGATGCCTGCATCCACTTAAATGAATCCAACAGTATCCTCAGTTTGCCATGCACAGGAGTGATATTTGTAGTCTCGTGCTGTTGGTCAAGCCGAGTCGCAACAACCTGGTCGCAATGAACCCGCAATCGCAAATAAAGAAACGATCCTCGTACGTAGGTAATTTCTAGGAGCGGAGCGTCACGAATAGCGAATCAATTCTTAATCTGTGGTCGAATGTGTAGTATGCTCTTCGCACTGTCCAAATCGATAAAATGACCGGAGTTGGAATTGTTGATTACTAGCTTCGTAGGGTCCCGGATGCGACGAAATTGTATGTTGGTCAATGGAAGCCGAGAAGCCGATTTTTCCCACGAATCACATCAAAGTAGGATAGGAAGGATTCGATGCGGAAATCAAGAAAGGAAAGAAATCAGGGGAAATAGGAAGAAGATCCTGAAGGATTTGAGGTGAGGCCGAATGCCAAAGATGCGCAGCGCTCAACTGCCAGAAAAGTGCAAATCAACGCATGCGGGCCCCCGGGCCGTACATGCACTGCGGTTTAGGTCTAATCCGCATCGGTTGGCACTCTTAATTTCCTGTGACCCACCAGCCATGAGGTAGTTGTTATTAATAGCCAGAGAAAGAATGATGATGGCCGTTCTTTAGGATCCAGTTTATCTAGAGTTGGCTTGACAATCCCAGCTACCTGGGCGAGGCATGTGTCTAGGGACCATCTACAAATTTCCCAGATATGTGCACCGCCCCCTAATTTCCGGTAAGACAACAAGATGTGTTGAAACATAGGGATTGACTCGAAGATTTTACCTTAAGCTTACATTACTCACAAAGCCGAGAATGGCTATCCTTTTGGCTATATGATTACCCTCATTCTTGATAAAGGCTAAGATGAATGGTAGGCTGCCTAACGAGGCGCGACCTCGAGGCCGTTATATGTACCTAAGGCAGCGTAGTGAATACACCTGACGCTCATCAGTATAAAGACGACATCCTTCCAATCAGGCGATACGGCTTGCATGTTACATACCCACACATCTGTTATACCGGCGTCATGGTCCGATCTTGTTCATAAGCTTCTTCATTTCTAATAACATATCAAAGCATATCCGGCTGATCAAGCACTAAAGAAAAACCTGCCATAACGGCCCAGACATCATGAAATCAACGAAATTCGTACATTAATGCTTTTTCTTATTTCATAGTCATGCAATATCCCATCCCTCTACAAACGGTTGGGGGTAGTGCTGGTCATGGGCCACTGGTAACCAGCAGCATCACTGAACTTGTAGCCGAACGAAGCAGTGAAGTCATCAAGAACAGCGGGTCCTCGGGAGCCTTTCGACAGGATTAGTAATGATATCAATCACCAGAGTACATTATGGCACATACCGTAGGGGTATTCCATGGGGATGATCTCCTTATTGTCGTCAAGGTAGTGCAGGAGAGGCGTGAAAATCTTCCAGCTTGCGTCGAGTTCATCGTCACGCACAAAGTTAGAGTGGTCACCCTTCAGAGCGTCCAGGATGAGCGATTCGTAGGCTTCGGGAATCTTCAAGTCAGAGAAACGGCGGCGATAGGTGAGATCCAGCTCAGTCATGACGGTCTGCATGGACAAGCCAGGCAACTTGGAGTTCATCTTGATGTACACCGACTCGTTGGGCTGCACTCGGATAACCAACTCGTTACGAGGGATATCCTTGAAAATACCAGATGTGACATCGCGGAATTGAATACGGATTTCGGTCTTCTGCTCATTCAGGGCTGTGTGAAAGGTAAGTATCGCGACTCTAGCGGTCTGAAAAGTAAACCATGCTTACCCTTTCCAGCCTTCAGAATGAAGGGAACACCATCCCACCTCTCGTTCTTGATGTATGCAACCATAGCGCAGAATGTCGGGCACCGGGAATCCTTAGGGACAGTGTCGTCCTCCTTGTACGCGGGCTTGCTTCCATCCAGAGACTTCCCATATTGGCCGATGATGACGTTCTTGGGTTCGATGGGATCCATGGCACGCAAGACACGAACCTGGGATGAATTAGTTTCGCTCGTCGCTCTCTGGTCAAATAGCTGAGTGGCCTACCTTCTCGTCACGGATATCTTCAGAGGAGAAGGAGATGGGACGCTCCATGGCCAGCAATGTCAGGACCTGCAGCAAGTCTGAAGAGACGAACATCAGCACCGCTCATTCACGCAAGTAGATGGCAGAAGCATACGGTTTTGCATGACATCACGGATAATACCGAATTCATCGAAATAACCACCACGACCCTCTGTACCAAAAGGCTCCTTAAATGTGATCTGCGGCAGGAGCGAATCTGTCAGCAAGTTGCACTCAATTCGGAGTATCTCAAGCATCCCATACCTGTACATTGTCGATGTGGTGACGGTTCCAGGTGGCGTTGAAGAATTCGTTGCCGAAGCGCATGATCAGGATGTTCTTGACCATCTCCTTACCCAGATAGTGGTCAATCCGGAAGATCTCCTCTTCCTTCCAGTTGGGGTCAAGGGCTTTCTGGAGGTCACGCGAGCTCTGAAGATCTTTACCGAAGGGCTTCTCAACCTGTATATGACGAAAACATGCGCATCAGTTGTTGCTCTCCTATTCAGATTGACTTGGAAACTCACGATGATCCGAGCAATGCCGTTCTTGGGATAGCAGTTCCTCTTGAGTTGCTCTGAGACAGTGGTGAAGACGCTGGGAGGCAGCGCCATATAGAAGACTCTGTTTTGCTCCTTGTGGCCCTTCTCAACCTCCTCGAGGTGCTTTCTCAGGTTAATGAAAGAATCGTCCTGGTCATATTGACCGGGGATGTAGGTGCAGAGACTGCAGAAGCTGTCCAGCTGCTCCTCGATTTCTTTGGTGGGAACCTTAATGTATGATCGCACGCGCTTCAGGAATTCTTCGTGGTCCATCTTTGTCCGCGCATATCCGACGATCTTGATATCCTTGGGAAGGAACTTGTTGCGGAACTGTGCATACGGTCAATATAGGAGTTTAGACCCTCGTCAATAGAGGTGGAACGTACGAGTCCGAAAAGAGCAGGGAACTATTGAGATGTTAGCTTAAAAAGCTGTCTAGAGTAGATATCCGTGGGACAACGAACAGTCTTCTTCTTAGCAAGATCTCCCGAGGCACCTAGTACTACGATGACGGTGTCATCTTTAAGTTCGAGTGTGCTGAGCGCATAATCCATGTTAGCAACCGATTTGGACTGATGTTATTCGAGGCGAGAAATAATTATCTAGGTCGATCAGGGTTCGGTGTGTGACTTGATGGACACAGGGGGGAAAGAGACAAAATGAGTGTGAAAATCGATGGAGAGCGACAAAAAGGCAATAATGGACAAATAGTCAACTCCGTAAGTTGCAGCAGGAGCGTGACTGAACCGAATTGAGCCAAAAGACAAAGGGAAAAATAAGGTGCTGGTCGAAGGTAGCTGACAGGTTGCACGTCGGTGACCAGTACGGAGCAGTCGCAAGCGGTGGTAGGGACTGAGGTAACGGGAGTGTTTCCGCCGTTGGAGGGGGAGGGGTGTGATGTCAGAGAGGCAGAACTATGGGAGAGACGTACCCAGCATTCTGCTGTTCGTCCGATCGGGCTATTGTGCTGGACATTTTTTCGCACGAAATGTTTGAGACTGACGCTTCGATCTCTGGGACAGAGGTGATCTTAGGAGTGAAATAAGAGACGAGAAGAGAGAGAAAGAATGAAGAGGGATTGTTGGAAAAATACCCAACAGTTCCGGCGGAGCAGGTACTTTTTATTTAACACGGAGGGCTCTCAAGCTGACTGCTGTAGTAATGCAAGGTGGGTTTTGGTGGGGCTGGCTTGGATTCTTCCACTACGTCGATGCTGCCGCGCGACCCCGTGTACATTATGGGAGGTGGTATTGGGGATAGTCGAATGGGATTACAGGGAGGAGCTTTAATATATGATTACTGATTATTATTAGATAGCCTAATTGTTATGCTACAGCGCCTAGCATAGGCCAGATCATGCTCTGGTGTAGGCATACAGGGCAGCCCATCGATAGATAGAAACGAATGTCATCACTTTCACTATTACATCCTCCGTGGCAAACTTCTTTTCCCTTCTTTATATCATCAGGGCTCGTGGATGTTATCTCCTTACGAATTCGATCATATAATCGAACTTCTAGTTTTATCCCGGTTAATTAAGAAAGACATACGGAGTACATATGGGACTTTCTAACGCAGTCAGCTCCACTGTGACCCAACGGATGATTTTCATTTAAAGATACGGACTGATTTGATGCTGACTTGCTGACCCCGCGTAAACCAACCTAGCCGTATCACACTTGTTTGCGCCTTGGATGAGGGGAAAGGTTTACAAGGACAAACTTCTGACTCCTGCGTGAAGTCCCGCGCAGCTTATATAGTAGGCCACCTGTCTCGGTGCTGCATGCCCAGGAACCTAATATCTCATAGAGGTGGAGTTTCCCTTCCCTCCTGATCGCGTAAGCAGATTCGTGCTCATCAAATCTCAATTGATGTTTGCGTCGATGGCTACGTATCTGTTGATGTCCGTGTTGTCTACAAAGGTACATCCTGGCAAGTGCCTATTTAGGATAGATCTGGCTTAAATTTCGGTAGCGTAAACCTTGGGAGGAATAAATACTTCGAGAAACATGCCTTTCCTTCTTCCTACCTAAGATTATCCTGCAGCCCATGATGCAGCGACTTCGGACTCCACTATCTACTGGCTGGTCGCAGAGACTGCGCCAGAGCTACGGAGTTGGCACAGTGGAAACTGGAAGCTAGAGGCCCTAGTCTTGTAGGTTGCAGGCTAGGGAGGAAAGCCAGAAGAAGCTCTCCCGGTGACCTAAACCATAGAGATGGATCGGCGGATTTGTCATGGAACAGTTGGAAGTAACTGATCACTACGGATTCTACGGAGTCTAAATTCCGGAGAGCAAAGAAGTGTAGGAGAGGTACGGAGTACGAATAACGCCCGGACTTTCTTTGCTGAGCCATAT